AAAAAAAAAAAAAAAAAAAAAAGAGAGAGAGAGAGAAGAAATTACAAGAGAGGACGTTGGAGTACGTGAGGGAAATGAATAGAAAGAAAAGGGCAAAATAAAGGCAACTTTGACTCGACGCCATGGCTCTGCAACTTTTTGGATTGTCCGTCGAGCAGCTGCGGCGGCGATGGCGGTGGAGCTTTTTATCTCCGCCTGCAGATGGCTGTGAATCAAGCAATTCTTGTTTTTGTGTGTTTTTGGTAAAAGGGTGTTTTGGGATTCATTTTGTTGGGAAAAGGAGAGGAATTTGTAGGGAGGAGAGCAAAAATTTGCATGAAATGAGTTGAGTCACCATTGCCTTCTCCTCTTATTGCCACCAACCACCCCTAACTTTTTGTATCCATGTAGTTTTGTTAGGTTAATGGTTGTGTCCGCCACGTGTCCGATTAACGGAGCCGATAATTAGATAAATCTGGTATTACTTATCCCTATGCTCGAGATGTTCTATATTCACATAAGGATAGCACTGTAAGGATAACCAGATCCACCGCTAGCAGATATTATCCTCTTTGGGTTTTCCCTCAAAGCTTTATAAATGGTGGTTTATTCTCCTCCCCAACCAATGTGGGGCATCACAATCCACCTCCCTTCGGGGTCCAACATCATCGCATGCACTCTTTCCTTCCTCCAATCGATATGAAACCGCCCCCGCCCCCAAATCCACCCCTTTTGAGGCCCAACGTCCTTACTAGGACAACGCCTCGTGTCTACCCCCTTCAGGGAACAGCAAGAAGGCTGGCACATCGTTCGGAACTTGGCTCTGATACCATTTGTAACGCCCCAGATCCACCACTTGCAGATATTGTCATCTTTGGGCTTTCCCTTTCGGGCTTCCCCTCAAAATTTTAAAACACGTCTGATAGGGGAAGGTTTCCACCCCTTTATAAATGGTGGTTTGTTCTCCTCCCCAACCAATGTGGGACATCACAGATATGCTCCAAATAAGGTCGAGAATGAGAGAAAAAACTTGCATGACATCACGAGCATAGCTCAACTAGTCGATTCATTATTTACGAAAAATTCAAATCTCTATTCTCCTAAATTTTTCATTTTCCGACCTTAATATATTTTAATATTTTTTTTTTTAAATAAAACATTTTGT